GCTATTTTCCACCCGTAGTCCCTTCACTGTGCTTTTATTTTTCCTCACTATCCAAGTAAGTCTGTAAGTATAATCACTATCAGTCTTTGTGAGGATGTAAAACTTCTTTCTTCTCAACAGGCTTTAGAGGATTGTAAAGACGCGGGGCTGGTTAAATCTCTGGGAGTCTCCAACTTCAACCGTAGGCAGTTGGAGCTGCTGCTGAATAAACCTGGCCTCAAACACAAACCTGTGTCCAACCAGGTGAACCCAACTTGTCTCTTTACACCCCCACTGACATCAGATAAAGCACGGTGTATGTAGTACAGTAGTATATTACAGTATACAGTGCTATTATGCCATTAACAAGAAAGCATTGCTTAGCTTTTTATACTTCAATACTAAATAAACTGACACCTCAACATTAAATCGGTGAGCTATTAGAAGTATCTTGATGAAAGGATTTACCATTACATGGTGAAAAGATGGGAAGGAGTTTGATCCATGTATGTATGCTACTCATGTAGTTTTACACTACATGAGTGCATCCTACACACTGGACCTTTAATTTAACTCAAAAAACTTACTGTAGATAAAACTTCTTGTCATGCTAATGTAATATCAGACTACTCTGGGCCATTTGTGTATTTTCCTCTTTCTTACCTGTAGGTTGAGTGCCATCCATATTTTACACAACCCAAACTTCTGGAGTACTGTCGTCAGCATGACATTGTGATTGTTGGCTACTGCCCAATTGGCTCCTCCAGAGATGCATCCTGGTATGTAGGTTTTAAGATACATGCACTTTTCAAGGCCGGTGGGATTTTTTTAAACAGACCTGTGGACAGCTGGTATTTTGTAATGTTTTGTTCCCCTTGGTCATGGAGGGCTGATAAAATTGGGAGAAAGTGATGCTCTTACACAGGGGAAACGCTGGGGATTCATTAGTCTTTAAATGGAGAATTAATGTCCAATCACAAAACTGAACAGCTAAGTGAATGCAAACGCTGCAACGAAAATTAACATGACAGATAACTTTTGTCATGGAAAGAACCTAACCTGGATCATTAACATAAGGCAATTTTCAAAATGTCAGCCTATCTGGAACTGCAAGATATGGAAGATGCTTAACATGAAAACTTCTGTATGAAGTTATCTTTTGTATATTCATCTGTCTCTGGTTTAGGGTGAACGTCAAATGTCCTCCTCTGCTGGAGGACGAGCTGCTTGTATCCATTGGGAAAAAGTACAACAAGAGTAGTGCCCAGGTGGCTCTGCGCTTCAATGTCCAGAGAGGAGTTGTAGTGATCCCTAAGAGCTTCAGCCCTGAGAGGATCACACACAACTTCCAGGTGGGTTTACCAGAATGCTGTTTTATCATACTTGACTTGTACATACTGTATACAGTAAATGCATTCGTTAATAAAACAAGTTATGGTTGTAAAATCCTCACTTTATACAGTATTTATCAATTTATTTAAATCATTTCAATATAAACAAATATTCTTTTCCCAGATATTTGATTTTTCACTCACTGAGGAAGAAATGAAAGCCATTGAATCACTAAACAAAAATATTCGTTTTGTGGAGCTGCTGATGTAAGTATACGCTTTGATAGGAAAATATATAATCAAAAGTGAGTTGAAGCTAGAACTGTATCTAAATGTGAAGGTTGCTGTTTATATTATAATGATTTGTGTTGTGTTGTTTTTTCTGAGAGACTAAGTCCTCATCATCGTGCTTTTTTGTTTCACCATAGGTGGAGTGATCATCCAGAGTACCCATTTCATGATGAATATTAATTGTTTTCATTCCCTGTGATGTCCATATTTTCCCGAATTAAGTTCTTCAAACAAATAAAGAACAAAACGTGGAGTGACTCATTTCAGCATCCTTTACTGATAAACTTTGCACCGGTGCATTTTCATATTAAACACTAGAGGGCACTAGTTCACAGTAAATGAAAAAGAAATTAAAGCTTTTAAGGTTAAGATGTATGAAGGTGAAGTTGTTTGTGTATAGCATGTATTGTAGGCCATTGAATATATAATGATAATGAATTGTTATTGAGTTCCCTGATTTGAAATTAAAGTTTAGTTTGCAATTATGAAGATTGATTTAAATCTGGCAAAATACATCATATTTAGAGAAATGTATGTGGATATTTGTTTTTTAAAATAGTCACCAAGGCTTGTCTTTATTATATGTTTTAGATACATTAGGTGAGCACTATATTACTGTAACATGTTTCTATAGTAACAAGCAGTGTCCACATCCTTATTAAGCAGTGCTGCTTGTGTGTTAATAGAGTTAAAAGGAAATATGGAAAGCCTTTATTTTTCCATTGAGTGAATCACTCTATGTAAAGCCACTGCATATATAAAGCCCATTTAAACACAACAAAAGTTGACCAAAGTCCTGTACTATGTTCAAGGCAAGGCTAAAAAAACAACACAGCCTGGAACGTAAGAGGTATGGAGGCATGCAAGTCCAAAAGCCTAAAATATAAAAATGGGGGATGTAAAGGTTTCATTTGTGGGTGATCTCAAAAATAAAGAATAGCTCTATTGATTACAAATTCAAATGAATGTACACACATGCTGTTTGGAGGTGAGGTTAAGCATCTTGGACAGCAGCTGTAACTGGAAAGGGGCACGTGAGAAAAGCTAATAATTATTTTGGAATATGCTGGATGGGTTTAGCATTTGTTTTGAGATATAATATCAAATC